CACATCTCCTATACCGATACCATCATCACCTTGGCAGCGCCTGACTATTCTATCCATGTACAACACAAACTACTATGAATTACTACCTCAGTTTTCAATCATGGGTGTTGATTCCTGCGGTCGTTCATCGCTTTTTTCATCGCAAAACCTAAGTTAATGAGAAGCTCAATTGTAAATGTAATCTAGCTGCCAACCTAAATGCTTGTAACCCTGTGCTGTTACCAAACCATTTGGTCTAAATGAATAAAAGGCTTTTTCTTCATCTTCTTTTTCTTTACCACTATCAGAAATTCACCTTCATGACAAGGTCTTCTATTTCCATCCTTATTTCATTTTATATTCAGGCTCAACTTTAATAAAAGCTCGTCCATCTTTGGACAAAAGCAGCATCAACTTCAGGCATAGTCGATGAACAGTTCAAACGTTAACTCCTATCATCATCCGCGAAACCACGTTACTGACGGTTGACGTGTTTGAAGTCATTATTCATAAATGGCAATTATTTTATTGTCTAATAACTGTGGTACCTAATAGTAAAATATTTCAATGTGGATATTCTATAGCGTACTAGTGTTCTTGAACATCTCTCCTAAACTTGAAATTGCAAGCTCGAATCGTGTTTCCATGTATAACATTAAGACAGCTGAAGTTTCCGGTTTCATCTTATATGGCCAGAATCTTGAGTGTCAGCTCTAGCGTTCAGTGGAGAAACAGAAATTCAGTAAAGCGCTATGCGGATATTGCGTATACTGTTCATTTAACGCTCATTTTTAAATTACGGTTAAAATGAATGAGTGATGTTTAGGCACGACTTCTTTCAAATAGCTGCTTACTTTGCTGCATTCTACTGCTTCGCGCTTTCTTGGTCGAATATCCAAAACGAAGCAATGGCCAGAGTCCACCGTCTTCACTGGGACCCAGATGACCCAGCAGTATACTTCGAAACGTTTTTTGCCATTGGCCTGATCATGTCCAGTTGGCGTTTGTTCTACTTCTTCGAAATGGACAAAAACTTCCGAGCCGTCATTGTAACGCTAGCCTTCACTGTGTGTCAGGTTTGCGAAGGTTTTAGACCTACGATTCTTCTAGGTGTCGGTAGGCAGATGCGTGCGACACGTTTTTCTGTATATCTGCCTTTACACTATCATTATAATTGCCTTTGGGATCGGCGTTCACTTTTTGTACAAAAATTACGCCGGCAATGTGGTGATAATCAATGGCAGAAGAGTGGAGCAAACGCGGTACATGACCACGTAAGTACAACAGATCAGTGGAACAATAAAATGGTGGGCTAAATGGCCTTGAAATCGTAGCGTAGTCAGAGCGAGTATCAATAGCATCGTTTATAAGTTAAAATTAAGTATTTTACGGATTTACTCCGCATTTAGATTTTATTAAACTAAATCCTGAGATTAGCTTCTTGCTCGACCGACGGATCGAAGACCCTGAGGACGGCCAAGAATCAGCTCGAGCAAGTTCAAGACTCTTCTTCTGACTGAGGTTATTTTTCACTGAATCTCAAACACTGGCACTGGATCAGGAACGTTGGAGACACTACCTGATAAGTCTGTTTCCGCGATATGAAAGGATAAGCGGACATCGAAACCGACGGTCAAAGTAAAATTCTGCCGTTTCGGATCGAGTTGCATCCATTTTCAGGGATACGTTATCTCGGTGCATATTGGGAAATTATTTTAAGGTGTAAATACCATTAACGAATTACTGATAACTACTGTTATTCAACCTATCAGCTATCGATAATTCAGTCTTAGTATTACTTTATCGTTTTTTTTTCACATTGATGAAAAGTTCTTGCCTTTGGCTCTCTTCAAACGTTCGTATGCTTGTATCAAGGTGGCTTCTTGAATTTGCTACTTCTGACAGCTTTTTTCTTGAGTCACACTTCTTCGTGTTTTTCCAGTCAGCGGTATAATTCTTTTTCATCGGGTGTCATTTATCATTTACCGTTAGTGAATCCCATTTTCCAGAAGGAAAACCAAAAATGATTAAGAGGCAGAAAGGAAACAAGTACAGAGTGAAAGGAAGAATGATGACAGCAATTTCTAGAGTCATATTGCAGTAGTAACTTTCTTAACCAGATAATTATCTTAGATACAGAAGTCAAGAGTAGTAGTAAACATTAAACTATTTAAATTTTAGACTACTGAGCTGCGTTCGATATCTCTATTGGGCGTGGTACGGTTACCTGCATCCAACGTTCAAACTGATGGTAGCTGTTGGAAACAGAGGACCGGAAGAAACAGTGATGGAAAACAGAATGGTCAATTACGCCGGAGAGCTGATTTGTGGAATTTACTACGTCATTACTGTCGTAGCTCTTGTTCACCTGATGACTTCAATGATGGCAAAAACTGCTTCTAGGATTTTAGTACTCTGCTTAGTGTAGAATTGTAAAGCTTCTAACGCCTAAGTTTGTTATAGGCAAACGAAGACATTGAAACAAAATATGTACAGTGCCAGATTTCAGCCGAGTACTTCCAAGACTCACGATCCGTTCCGCCGCCGTTTAACCTCATTCTCTTCACTGTGAACGGCGTCCTTTATGCATTTCGAAAACTGATAAACTGGATGAAGACCGCCTAGGTAAGAGGTCAATGAGTTTTGGCTTGGTTTGGGGCTTTGGCCTGGTCATTTTGTCATGCAATATTGATAGGTACAAATTTCATTTTACTGGTGGTAGCCACAAGCGAGCGATGAAGGAATTTTGAAACTGGATGATGACAATGACTAAACAGTTCTCCTGGTGATTTTCAGAGAATCAGAATATCTTCCGGTAATGGAAGACAGCTTAGACAGTGCCCATTTACGTTCAGTCACTGATCTTTCCAAAGGAGTATTTTGAACACCTCCTCTGTAGCTGCTGTGAATAAATTGGTAACTTTCCATCATTCTTACGGGAACCCGTTTTTCAGGTTTGAATTGGCTTGTGGTTTAGTGTAGCTTTACACTAGCAGTTACATTCTTCAGGTGGCGATAAAATCTGCGTATGTTTTTTGATTCCCTGGCTCTTCAAGGAATCCATTGCAAAACGAATGTAGACTTTTAATAAGTCCCGTCGAAATCGATAAACTCCGGGAAGAGAGGAAGCTGATATTAGTTCTTGTACCTCATCGCGATAATGGCGCTTTTTATAAATAATAAACTACATAATTCTTAATTGTTTCATTTCAGCATGCAGTGAACATTCAGAGTCAGACTGATGTTAAAGCGTAAAGCGTCAAGGTATGTGAAGATCGAGACAAATGGTGAGACAACTGCTGTTTGTTGCTCAGTTGATTCCCGCTTCTTTATTGCTTCTTTGAATTTGCCTTTTCCATTTCATTATAAATAAATTGTAAAGCAGTGACTTGTAACTCCGCCGTTGCAATCTCAAGCACTGAGTTGAAATGATGAGACTTAGGGATGGTGGTGACGTCTTCTGTAAACCGTAATCCCTACAACTCATAGTATTGCCGTTATCCAACGTTATACCGGCTATGCCGTCGTCCGGGTTACCAAGGGAGGCGCAGGCTATTGGGAGACTGAGGCAGACTGCGAAAAGTCGGCGATCAGAACCTTATGGAAGCTGGAGTGTGTAGCGGAACACCGATGGATATGAAGATCGACAAGAAGATGATGAAGATATCAGTCAGCAGCGGAGCCACTACCCGTTATGAACGGAGGACGCAGACAGCGCACTGCCCTTATAGCACGTCAGATATGGATCAACGGGATAGATGCCGACAGTGAGAGCTGACAGTCAGAAAATGGATCATCTCGACTCTCAGAGGGAATGTGCAGGAACTAGATGATGACGACACTAGTTACAAGCTTGATATCGTGAACGAAGCACCAGGGCTCAGGGATTCGGAACTTCTCTAGGAAAAGCTATTCTTTTCAAGTGTCGACTCCACAACACGAGCTCAGGCCGGTGTTGGTGTTCTGATAGAACCCAACCTGGCTGACAGAATCATTGAACATAAGCCTGTCAGCAAAAAAAATAGCAATTCTCCGGCTTAAGTTACAACAGGCTAGAGCTACACGTCTATACGCTCAATCCAAGGAAAATAAGTTAGACTGTTGAGGAAATAGTAGGTGCACTGTAGGCACGGAGTCATCATTCAAATGGGTGATTTAAATGCGCATGTTGGAGCAAACACTGAAAAGTGGAAAGGCTTGATTGGAAAAGACGGCCCTAGCGACCTCTACAATAACGGCATGAAGTTGTTGCGGTTTTGTGCAAACAACGGATTGTTTATTATGAACACCTTCTACGAGCATCGAAAAGTGCGCCAGTACACCTGGTACCGGGAAGCTTATGCACAGAAGTCAATGATCGATTTGATAGTCGTATCATCTGACTTAAGACGCTAAGTAATGGATGTTCGCGTTAAGAGAGGCGCAGAGCTATCAATCGATCATCACCTTGTTGTTGGCACTCTACGCAGTAAGAAGTGGAGTACCATACGAAGATCTGGTGGCAGAAGCAACCGTAGAATCAAATGGGAAACATTATCTTCAGTGGACACGAGAGCAAAATTTGCAAACAACATCGCATGACGGTTTGAGCAGATCCCGGTGATGACCACTGATGTGGAAACCGAGTGGCAGCTCTTTAAGAGCGGCATATTCTAGGTTGCTGCCGAATGCTGAGGATATAAACGGATTGGCCTGCCACGCGGAGGTCCTTTCTGATAGATACCAGAAGTTCAACTGTCCTTTAAGGAGAACAAGACTGCATTCAAGAAATAGCTTCGACATGCAGAACCTTCAACTCGCATGCTATGCATAGAAGCGCACAAGGGGACAGCTAAACGACTGGCAAGTGCCAAAGCTACTCCTGGGCGAAATTCTGTGAGTTATTGGAATCGAATTTCCAGACGGTATAGAAGATATTCTGGCAAACCCTTCGTTGGTTCTGGGCTGAAAAGAAGGGCAGTCTAAAACTCTTAAATGATAGGTTTGGACACAATCTTATTGAGGATGAGGACGTTCTTCGGCGATGGAGAGAATACTTTGAGGATCTTTTTAACCTCGAGCAACCGCAGAAAGATTTGCCTGGAGTAATAGACTGCTGTAGAGCGACAGGAAACGTCTATTAATATATCAGAAAGTGAAAATCTCAAAAGTTGAAAGGCCGCTGGATTCAACGAAATCCATACTGAGAGCAATAGGCGAAGAAGACATACATTTGCTGGCTTACACGTGCTTGTCAAACTGCAATGGCCACATTGAAGTCACCAACGGACGAGAGAATTTGGGGTTGTAGCACCTCTCTTTAAGAAAAGAGACTACTGGAAGTGCTAAATTTAACAGGCATTTAGAATCCCAGGTAAATTTTGGGCAAAGGTAGATGTAACCATAACTGATAGCCGTGGAATTACTGACTTCAATGTGCAACAAGAGCAGCATGGCTTCGCTCTGGCCGAAGTACATCTGACCGGATATTCGCCTTGCGTCTGATTGTTAAAAAACCGTGGGAATACGCGCATCCGGTTTATATGTGCTCTTGGGCCTGAAGAATGTCTATGAACAGATCCCGTCCAGTTGCTAAGAACCATTCAATTACTATATGCTGGTAGCACGTGCTGCGTCATTTTAAATGGCGTTAAGTCAAACCTTTAAGCGTTGGCACTGATGCTCATCAAGGCTGTGTTCTGTCCCCTAACTGTTTATGTTGCACATGGATAAAATAGGCAGGCGCAGCCAGGAGGATGAGAGTATCAGCATAGGAAATGTCGAGACGAGGAGGTTCCTGTTTGCAGACGACCTTGTTTTATTAGCGTCTTCTGAGACTGTCACAGTGCTCCCTAGACAGGTTCGCAGCTGAATGCGACATGACCGGCATGCGTGTGAACCTGTCTAAAACATAATGATTAGTGCTTTCGCGTTTGCCTGTCAGTCGCTCCTTTCAGATGAACGGAGAAGCAATGGAGCAGATGGAGAAGTTCTAGTATATCGGACTCTTGTGCTTAGCTGTGAAGGAAAATCTAAGCAACGGATCGACCAGCAACTAGTAGCCCCTGCGTGAACAAACCTGAACCGCTGTGACTAAATCAGGGCTAAGACTGAAGACTAAGCCCTCAGTATTCAACCACACATGATATTGCTTAAAACGGGTCCTAATAAAACAGGGCGAAGCGTTCTGTGATCTTGTTATAAGGGTGGGCTTGTTTTCTTCCTGGATGCTTTGTTTTCGCAGGTCGCTCGGTTTCGTTTGCGGTCGTTTATCTTCTCCAGTATGACAGGTGATTTTTGTTCTATTGAAGACGATGTCTCTGGTTTTTCCATGTAATATTTCCCACGATCGCAGCGAGTTGTTAATCAAACTTAAAGAGCTGTTATCACGGATAATTAACAAAGCACTAAATTTATTTGAGCTTTTAAATATAGCAATAACATTTTATTAAGTGTTAAGTAGCAATTTTGCAATTTTTCCGTTTTTCATTAAAAAAATTCAAATGTATAAAAATTGTATCATAATAGTTTTAGTGACAAATTACAAAGACTACTTAACGGTAAATACAATATTATTGCTAAAATAGCGCAAAACATGGTTTACTTCTACCGACCAATGCCGACGTTTCGGCCCATTTTTCACAGGCTTTCTTCAGGATAACTTGGTAGTTAAATTTCGTGAATGTGGTTGTTTCGAAGGCCTCCTGGTTCTGAAAATATTGACTGTTGTGGACGACTAACCACAGACACGTAACTTCATTATAAACCTACATTGAAAAAAGCCCGAGACTTTAGTGGGGCAGGTATTTAGTGTCACAGCCTCAGTGAAGCTTGGAGCATATTACATATTC